GTCTATATTAATATCAGCATTGGCAGTGCTGACTTGTCATCTCCTCCTCATTTATGTGCAGTTTTTCTTGTGCAGCATGTTTACTCCTATTCAGTGTCTCGCATGCACTGTCAGCAGTGAGATTATTTAGCTCGGCAAACTATATAGTACCAGTTTATAACCTACTTCATTCAAAGTCTTCACAGATCCACGAATCTACACACTTGAGTTTGATGTTTGACCCCAAGGTCTCTCAATATTTACATCTATGAAGAGGTAGGTCTAAGAGCTATATGAGGTAAAGATCAATGAAAGTTGAAATGTAACTGCCTGCTCTGAGAATGCCAACCCCTACAGCAAAGAATTTTCCCATTGCCTATTTTGTGTGTTTCTTTCCTGAATCAGGGCTGGATCCACTGGAGATTTGCACGGTAAGCTCACAGTTTTGTTTATTCTCATACATTCTCACCATAAATAATTGTTTGCAATATATTACGTAGATATTGTGTTAAAATATACAAGTTTAATACATTGCCAGCTCTTTTGGTTTGTAAATATGTACACTTCGTCTTTCGTTTGTGTATTTTTGAAGTGTAATTCCCAGTAATGACAAATAATTCCCACAAGAATGTTTTGATAAAACATTTAACAAAGCATATTTTATGTGCAAGAAAATTGATTAGTAGTAATGCAGTAACATTTCCATAAATACATTGTTGATTTAAAAACAATATATATATTTTTAATTTTCGTGCAATCTGAATTTATTTAACCTGTAGCTTTAAACGAATTTAAAATGTTTAACCCTGGAATTATGCAACAGCTGACAGACCTTTAGCCATGTGAAGCATTTATTGATTATTTGACTGTATATTTTGTTCAATCTGTAAGTTTAAAAACAACAATCCACCTGAAATTGGAGGTGTTAATCGGATCATGTATTGGTTTATTGCCAATAGCTAGATTATGAATTTCTGTGCAAGTGAGGGAGACCTTCAGGAATGATTTTTTTAGATAGTTTCTATCCAAAATAATATATTGATTAAAATTGTGTGTGAGGATTCTTTTCTTCTGTTTCTGCTGAACAATCTGATCTGATGAAGTGTATACAACATTTGTATTAATGGATTTAATATGTTTTATCTAATAATATTTTAATAAGTATGGATAATATGTAAAATGGAAAGAGTACTTTTGTACAAATGACCAGTGACCAGGCAGTGATCAACGCCAAATCATCCCATATTCTGTATAAATTGTGCTGTTCTTTGGTTTTTAGACTAACTTCTAGAACATGAACTTGTGTTTTCTGGCATTCCTCCTCCTTTGTTATGCCAAGCAAGGCTGGACGGTAAAGCACTCAACTGATTTTATGCTGTTTATTTTTTCCAAATGATTTCATTCTGTTTAATTAAATTATTGATTTTATTCTATTATTTAAATGCCACAAATTGCTCCTTGTCACTGCAGGAAGATGCGATTGAACCAGAGGATGGAGCAGTGCCTTTAATTCCTCTCATCCCACTGATGCCTAGTAAACCCGTATCAGTAAGAACCCCCAATGTTACATTCTTGAAGGTATATACATGTTTAGACTTTTGACACTCCAATTGCCTTGTCCCTCTCAGGATTTGAAAGGCACTCTTGACCCCACCATAACAGAAGCACTCACAGTTTCTCCAGATGGCTTAGAAGCAGATCCTTCAGCCTCGGTTCCCTCTCCTGGGCAGAAAGAAGGCTCCTCTGAGGAGGACCTTGATTCGCTCTGTGATGGGGACATGACCAGCCAACAGATTAAGCGGACCGTAGGCAACGGCATTCTGAAGCTTGGCCTTTGGTTCTTGGAAAACTTGAAGCCTAGTCCAGAGCAGCCCAATGTCATCATTTCCCCACTTAGCTTGTCTGTAGCACTCTCACAGCTAGCACTGGGTAAGTCTACAATGAAAAACAAAAGACTCAGAGAATAACAAATGTTTTGGTTTCCATTACGTTTAAACTGAGTTTTTTTTTTGGCATGCATTTATTTTCGCTAATTTAGTGATATTATATGTATCTCAATAAGACAATCTTGTTGTTTATCTGAATCTTAGGAGCAACTAATGAGACAGAAGAGCTGCTTCTACATCACTTGCATGCGGATGCACTGCCATGCTACCACACTGCCCTCAGCAGCCTCCTGCGCTACTTCCGCAAAAGGAGCCTGTCCATCGTCAGCCGCATCTATCTGAAAACTGGTGAGAATCACACATATACCACAAAACAGATATATTGTCAGGGAGGTTGATATTGTGGCCGCAAAAAGTTTTTTTTTTTGGTCCCTTAAAATTGGGGGTGGGCGATATACCAGTAGAAATTTGTCAACCGGTAGAGATTTTGGACTATTTGCCTTGTCCAAATACCCACACTTGCGGTCTTGGCCACTTGAGAGCGCGTGCGCGCGACAGGAAGTAAGTGCGCAAGACTGTCCCAGGTCTTAAAAATGCCAGAGCGCAGTGCCCTTAAAGGAACACTCCACTATTTTTGAAAATAGGCTCATTTTCCAACTCCCCTAAACCGTTAAACAGTTGAGTTTTACCGTTTTCGAATCCATTCAGCCGATCTCCGGGTCTGGCGGTAGCACTTTTAGCTGTAGCTTAGCATAGATCATTGAATCTGATCAGCAAAGTTCCTTGATTATTACGCCGGAATGAGAGTATAGTTCCTAGCCATATCGGCCTAGAAAATCGCAACTTTTCATTTTCCGTCGGTCTTAGTACACGATGTAACTACAGAAGAGTCAAGTTTTAAATAGGAAAAATATAGAAACTCTTTGGTCATTTTTGAACGAGATGCTATCGGTCTAATCAGATTCAATGATCTATGCTAAGCTATGAATGGTTTTCTCTTTTCCCTTAGGATTTAAAGCCAAACAGGACTTTGTGGAAGACTCTCAGAAACTGTATGACTCAGAGCCAGCCACATTGACTGATGTTAATGACATCAATGAATGGGTTAAGAAAGTCACAAATGGGCACATCTCAGAGTTTTTGTCCAGCCTGCCTCTCAGCGCCGTTATGATGCTCATCAATGCTATGCACTACAAAGGTCAGAACAAACACCTGTTACCAGCAAGTATTTCACAATTTCCTCTTTTACATCAGTGAGTCACATCGGAGGTTTTGCATTACTCAGGTCTGTTGCGTTGTTGTTCCCTTGTTATTTCACAAGTGTAAATCGATAAAGGACCACACAAGTCTAATTAAACAAGTCAAGTATACAAGTCTAACTTTCTCTCTCACAGGAGAGTGGCTCACTCGTTTTGACCCTCACTTCACCTCCACTGAGCTCTTCTACATAGATGAAAACCAGATTGTTAATGTGGATATGATGCTTGGGCCAAAGTATCCTCTCAGCGTTTTCACCCACCATGAGCTGGATGCCCAGGTTACTGCCTTTAAGATGCTACTTTATAAATAGCACTGATTAAATCTCTATTCCTCACTACTGAACTCTGTTACTCACTATTTGATCTCTATAGGTTGCTCGATTCCCCTTTAAAGGTGACAAGAGTCTACTAGTAATAATGCCAACATCTGGACATGTGAATGTATCAGCCGTTGCAGCTAAGCTCAATATCTCAGATCTTTACCGTCGATTACCACGAGAAAGAAACATGCAGGTCAAACTCCCAAAATTCAAACTTGACTTCAACCAGGACCTTCAAGAGGCCATGACAAACATGGGTAAGATATCTTGCATCTAATTCATGCATATCATGCATATAATCACCTTGGATTCAAAATCATCTTAATATTTCTTAATTATTTATATTAACAAATATATAATTCTACTCCAATCCAGGTCTAGGATTGCTATTTAGTCGTCCGAAGCTGGACCGCATCTCTGAGGGCCCCTTGTTTGTGTCCAGTGTACAGCATATGTCCAGTATTGAGATAAATGAAGAGGGGGCAGAGGCAGTGGCAGCAACAAGTGTGGTCATCTCACGTTCTAACCCTTCATTTACTGTCAATCAGCCATTTTTCTTTGCCCTAATGGATGACTTAAGTCAAACTCCATTCTTCCTGGGAGTAATTTCCAACCCAAACCCTGGAGCATCTACTATGGTCACAAACCCTGGCAATTCAGATAAAAATAATGACAAACCACACTCTTTTGATGTTCCTCCAAAGTAGATTGTTTTCATACATTTAGCAGAATGAGTCCATAAGTGATTGTTGACTGCGTAGTTGGTCCCCACTGGGAGGCAATTAAGGACATATCTTCTAAAAGTTAATTCTAGCAGATAATTTGAAATTACTTTCCCTATGTAAATTAATGTTGTTCTAAATATCCTAATCTTTGTTAAAAAGTCATGATTTTTTTTTCTGGTTTGTTTGTTTTTTTAATTAAAGAAATTTGACCAGAAATTCCAAGTGTCTCGTTAGTTTTTCTTTTTAGTGAGGTTTAGTGAAATGGTGCCTTCTTTCAGTGTTTAGCGAAAATGTGCCTATTTACAAACATGTTTTACAAACTGTACTTAAGATTATTACAATTTTTATTTTTTTTTGGACACAATTAAATAATTAACTTTTCTTGAAATGAAGTTTATGTGCTTGCTTTCTGGAGTAAAAAAACATTCTGAAATGTAAAAAACAAAAGAATGCAATTATTTAGTTCATTAAGAAAATACCATATACACAATATTCAAACCAAATTTCTAACATTTTAAAATGACTTTATACATAAATCTTTTGGAAGATGTTTATTTAAAAAACGTTTTTAAAGCACTGACATTCACGCAACTTCTGTCTGGCAGCTAATGTTATTAATAAAGTGTCTTTTGCTGTTGTGGCATTAAATAAATGTTAAAAGAAAAGTTTAAACAGAACAAACCTCTGCCAGATTACATGGTCTAAAACATGCGAATAAAAAACAAAAATACATTTTAGTGTATCAAAGCGGGAATAATACTAGTGTGCGTCAAAAATAAATGAATAAATAAAATAAGGCTCACCTAGTGTGATTTATTTTGAAGTTCAGCGGAAGTTGTTGGTAACGGGAAACGCGTCATCATGTGTAGCTTTTTCGCGCGTTTGGAGAGAGTTGGCGCGAGGAGATAGGAGACTGTTGATGCAAGAGACGGTTGTTGTCTATTATCATTACAAGATTTAATCTTCGATTCGCAGTATTTTTGTTGAAAATATGACTGTTCCACTGTCAGAAGGGGCAATTGAGGTAAGAATAAGGCAGCAGCGTTATTTCAAAGTTTACAAACATAAGCTTGCTAAGTCAGTTAGCCAGCAAGTTTTCATCCGCACTAACGTTATGACAGTAAAACAAAACAAAATCAAATCAAATCATTGGCGTTAATATTTCATATCATTTTCCATGATTGCATGTTTTAACTGTTACGAAGTTAAATGGATAGAATAAAATTTTACGTGCTAACACATTGCAGTACAAATGCAAAGATTGTTCTATATTGTCCGCTCAATGTAAACTCATTGTAGCTATAATTTACATGCATTAATTGATTTGAAGTGTATAAGAAAGTCAGAGTCATTGTAAATGGAAGATAGATCATGTAAAGTTAGTCTTCTTGTCTTCGCCGTGTTTTGAATGTGGATGAAATAAGGCAAATATATGAATTTACTAATATTCTTAATTTGATTTATATGGTAACTTAATGGTTGAAAATTTTTGTATTCTTGAGTGATTGTGTACTTTTTCTTTTCAGTCCCTGACAAAAGGAATTGAAGTCAGCAACCCTGTTCTGCAGTGTGTGGTAACTGTCAGATTTCTTTCACACTGTTTACAAATTAATCAAATTATTTTGTTACTACGTTTTATAAAAATAGGAATGGTGATGTCAAGGCAGATATTGCAGACATTAATGCCATAATCAGATTTTGTGATTTCTGAGGGAAATAAAATAATGTTACATTTATATTATACTTAACATTATTTGTAATATTTCAATAGGCCTAAAATTAAACTTTTTAGGCCTATCTGACTGTTTTGTTTCTAATTTTTTCATTAAACATATCAGTTTTGTTACTATTTAATGTTTAGTTTACTTACTCTTCTTTTTGCTTTTGTTTCTTTGTTTGGTTAAGGTACCAGACTATTTATTTTCATGCTAGTCAACTTTATTCTGTTGAATATCCTTTCCAGAACATTCGTAAGATTGATGGGGGAAATGGCCTGTCCCGTTTCCGTCTCATGATGAGTGATGGGCTACACACCATGTCCTGTAAGTTCGATTAGTTTTCAGATGTGTTTAATTTAATTTGATGTGTCTGTCCTTTAAATCGAATGTAATTTCCATGCTCAGGATGTTGTTTTGGACTTGTTCTGTTAAAGTGTATTGCAAAACAGCCGTTACTTTAGTTCACATGTGGAACTTTATGTTTGGATAGACATCAGCCCCAAAGCCGTATATTTTTCTGCAATATTTTTGTTAGGTACACATGTAAATGTATATGTTAGGTGCTTATGTCTTTGAAAGCTGGTGGTGGGATAATTTGGATAAGGAGTTTCTTTAAAGTTAGGAGTGAGTGATGTGTTATGGTCATTAGCCATTAAGATCTAATGTTGTCTCATCAGTGGGATGCAAACCCCAGCTATTCTATAAAATGCAAATAACCTGGCACCATGTATTTTGTATGCATGTAACTTTTTAAAAAAGTTTTTGTCTTTTTTCCCCCTTGCATCCAGCATTCATGCTCTCCACACAGCTCAATCCCATGGCTGAGCAAAACCAGTTGGCCTCTAACTGTGTATGTATGCTGAAAAGAAGCGTCACTAATGTTCTCAAAGATGGACGGTAAGCATTAGTCTCCAGGTCTTGATCTGATTTTCACAGTTGTTGTTATTAGGATGTTTATGTGTGATTTTTGTGGCTCTGCTTTATATATACAGTTATACTTAAAAAAATAAAATAAAAAATACAGTAATCATTAATATTATAAAATATTATTGAAATTTAAAATGACTGTTTTCCATTTTAATGTTTCTAATTTTCATTTATTCTTGTGTTCGCTAAGCTGAATTTTCAGTAGCCAACTACTGTAGTCTTTGGTGTTACATGATCCTTCAGAAATAATTCTAATATGATGATTTGGTGCTCAGGAAAAATTTTGTATTATCAACGTTGAAAACAGTTGAGTTGCTTAATATTTTTGTGGAGACGGATTTTTTTTTTCTCCATGATTTTTTGCTGAATGGGACGTTTGAAAGAACAGTGTTTTTGTGAAATGGAAAACTTAGTATGTATATATATAGTTTTTGTGGATTTTTTTCTCCATGATTTTTTGCTGAATGGGACGTTTGAAAGAACAGTGTTTTTGTGAAATTTGTGAAATAGTATGTATATATATATATATATATATATATATATATATACTTACACCTGCACACT